TGCTACCTCTCCATCTTCTCCATCGTCCTCACCGTCCCCCTCCCCTAGTCTTAGGGAATCCCCCTTCTTCACCAGGGAGCATTACTCCCTGACCTCAACTCCAAGCATTCCCTCTCTACTCTCTCTTCCTTTGAGGGTAAGAAGAGTCTCTCCCTTACTCCTGATTCCCCTCTCTACCACAGCAGTGAAAATACGACAGAAGTTGGCATGTCATTGCATTATCCTCCCATAATCTAGAAAGGGTTAGCTGCAAATCGTTTGTGGGATAAAGCAGCAAATGAATGGATCCATGAGTGAATGAGAGGATGAGCAAATAGACAGAAAATATTTTGAACACAAATAAATAAATGGAAATTCCTGGAAAAACAAAATTGTGGATGAAAGTTTAGTTCTGAGCTGAGCATGCTCAGTTGGACAGAGTGAGGTGTGTACAGGGACAGGAACCTGCTGGAAGGTTCTTGCACTGGCCTTGGGAGGAGGCCCAGTCCTAGAGGGGCAGGAGAAAGAAAAAGGGGAGAACATCTGCAGGTGGCTGTGAAGAGGCAATGACAAGATTTGGAAACAGACTCATGTGGAGAGTGACAAGAAAGAGTAGTGAGAGATGGCCACTATTAGCAGAAATTGGAAATCTGGGAGACAAAGTTTGTAGATACTGGGAGGAATGTGTTTTCAGCACAAGAGGCATTGTGGAATATCCAGGTGGAAATGTTTGCCAGCAAATGGAAATTGACTGCTAGAATCTGGGCAGGAAGTCAGGACAGGTGGGATAAAAAGAGCATATACCCAGTCCTTACCAGGCCTGGCCTTAATGTCATTAAGTAAGTGATCCTTGAGGCACCTTGTGAAGGAGTCATCCCAGGCCAGTGGCTTCCATCTCTCTATGATTTTGCTGTCACTGTTCCACCTCTCAAATGCTGACCTGTGGTTTCCACACATGATTATGTTTTCCTCATTCTTTCCAACTCCCCCTGACTCCACCTTGGTCACGAAACCTTCCATGATCCTCCTGTTTGGAATGAATTGCAGGCTTTTCAGCAATCCCACAATACCTATATTGAGATTTAGTATTTATAACTACAGAAAGCAGGGCCTAATAAGTCATGGGAATTCAGTAGACCATGGCCTGCATGAAACAGTTGCTCCATTTTTTTGAGTGAAAGAATGAGAGCAGCATTATTCAATAGCTTCTCTTATGAAAAAACAGTGTTTTCTGAAGCCAAGGGATGACTCAGGGTCATGGAGCTCTGGTGAGTGCTTCCATCAGCATTTCTGTATTTTGCCTGGTAGATTCAGGGGTGGTCTTTATGTAACAGACATTCTCAGAGTTAGGAGGGAACATCTGGTCTGACTGCCCACACAAATGAATAAGCATTATGTCTGCCTGGTGGTTTTTCAGCCTCTGCCCGAGAATGTCCAGTGACACGTTGTGCCAACCTCAGTGGCTTGTTAAAGAAGGGACTGGGTAGATGCTCGGGCGAGAATAAAGAGGGAAGAACACAACTTTGCTTTTCTCATTGATTACTCATTCTGGAGTTTGCTCACTGCGTCAGACAAGATAGTTTAAATCATGCTGTGGCAAGAAATGGCACTCAACTCTCAGCATCTTAAAACAACTCATGTTTCTTTATCTCTTGTGCTGTAGTCCATCACGGGTTGCCTGGGGGCCTCTTTCCTTACTTATTGTTTCAGGATGATGGAGTACCTACCACTCTAAGTGCTTTTGGTCCTCAGAGGGGAAAAAAAAGAGACTCTGGAGCATTTTGTACTGGCCGTTAAATGGTTCAGCCTTCTATTCACATGGTTTCTACCCACAGCCTATGGGCAGCTCCCCAACTCCTGGGAGCTGGGAAGTGTGTCCTTACCACCTTCCAAGAGACTGAGTGCTGGATGTGAGTGGAAGGTCGTCCCAATGGTCATGGTGCAGGCCTCACGCCAGTAGCCTGGCTGATTTCCATTTGGTCTAGAAGGAAGAGGTTCCCTGCATTTTCCGCATCACCATGACAAGGAGCACCTGGGGATGTAGACATGGACCATGTGTGTATGAAAAGGGCATCGTTGGCCGGGCTTGGTGGCTCAGCCTGTAATCCCAGTGCTTTGGGAGGCCGAGGTGAGTGGATTGCCTGAGCCCATGGGTTCGAGACCTGCCCGGGCAACTTGGTGAGACCTCATCTCTACAATAAATCAAAAAATCAGCTGGGTGTGGTAGCGCATGCTTGTAATTCTGGCTACTCAGAAGGTTGAGGTGGAAGGATCACCGGAGCCCACCAGGTCGAGGCTGTGGTGGCCGGGAGCGGCCACTGTGCTCCAGTCTGGGCGACAGAGATTCCAACTCAAAAAAAAAAAAGAAAAAGAAAGAAAAGGGCATCGTTGCTCCCTGGATTAATTGGAGGAGCCTCTCCCACTTGTAAGGATCCTGTTCAGTGTTCTAGATAGCAAGAGACAATTGGGAGAAGCCACCAAACAGCAGGATACATTCTTCAACTTTTCCCCCACGCCCCCAAAAGGCTGGAGACCTCCGGAACCAGCTGGCTTCCATTAAGCAGTTTTCCTTGATACGGGGACAGTGATGAATCCTCCCTGTTCGGAAGGTTGCAGCCTCCACTATAAATCAAGCCCTGAAGAGAGAAGAAGCAGCTGTGATTAAGAGTGGGACCTGAAATCCAAACTGTAATCAGTCAGAGATTTGTTGTTGGGATTGGAGACGGAGATGGATCTGTAATGGATGATTCAGGCCCAGGGTAGCTGTCTCTAAACATGTTAATTACCTCAGCTTAAATAGCTGAAACTGATGATTAAAAAATGTAGAGATGTGCATAGCAGAACTCACAGCCACTGCCTCCCAGGGCTGGCACACCCAGCTGAAAACATGGGCTTTCTCTTCAAATGGGAGGAGGTAGGGTAGGGCCTTGCCTGGGTGCAGATGGATTTGCTAAGCACAGTTCCAAGGTCTTGTAAGGAGAAACAGTAGAGACATACTCCCTCTTACCAGCTGATGGAGAGATTCCCAGAGGCTGATTCTGCCTGGCTCACCCACTGAGGGTCACCACCACTGGAATGATGACTGTTTTACTCTGATTGCAGGGTAATTGTCTGAGAAGTCCAAGGTATGGGTTAATGCAACTCATTCCACAGCAGACTTGGAGGATAAAGAAGGTGCCCCTTAGTTACAAAATGCATTTCTTACACGTGTGCCTATGCATGTCTTTATTTTTAATGTGTGCATGTGTGTGTGTTTCTCCCTCTGTATCTGCCATCTGGGATAGTTAGCTCATCTGACTAAATTGAGAGACCAAAGTCATGTTCCCTACCCAATTGGGACAGTTTGAGGGAGTTTGTTGCCCACCCTGTGAAATCAGTTTGTGACCACAGGCTGCAAATCTAGTGTCAGTTGGCCATGTTGCAAACATACGTACTTGGGTAGTTCAACTCATTTTACCAAGTATTTACTAAGTCTACTAAGTGTCAGGCACCATGCAGAGGCACTTTGTAAATGGAGATGAGAAAAGAATAGACCTTGACCAAGACAGTCTACAAGAAGAGTCTATCCATGTGTTACTGGGAGACAGAAGGTGGAGAATGACTCCTCAATGGGTAGATTTTGGGAAGTCCCCCTGGGAGAGAATCAGAAAGCAAGCTGTGGGGCTTAAAGGTAGGGGAGGGTGGGGAGGGTAGGGAGAGCTTCCATTAGAAAGTGGCATTTGAGATGGACCTTGAAGGATGGTTCAAAAGATTCTGATGAGATACAAAAGCATTCATCATGGCCGAAACAATACACAGAGTATATTTATTTATTCTATAAGTAACTATATTTCTAAATATCTTTGTCTTCCTATATAACTGGGTAAGATGGTGTGTTTGCATCTCTGTTTGCAGCCTTCCTTACTGATGGCCTAGGGACCAGATTTCTTTCTTACAATCACCCTTTAACTTACAACTTTGATTTCTGTTAAAATGTAAACACCCTTGGGAGGGGCTTCTTAAAAACTTTAAGCTCTTTTTACCCATTTACAGCTGTGTGGTTGGATGGGAGGTGGGGGAGTTTAGTTTTCTTGCAGGTCATCTCCCACCATCTGGTCCTCCTTGATCTGGACTGGTTTCCTCTCCCTTTCCCAGAGGCTATTCTGTCTTCTTTGTCATCATTACTTGTTCTTTCTCTTGAATTCCTCTTGATCCACCTACCATCAAGAAAATGCTGTTTCTTGGCTGGGCTCGGTGTCTCAGCCAGTAATCCCAGCACTTTGGGAGGCCCAGGTGAGTGGATTGCCTGAGCCTGCGGGTTCGAGACCCGCCTGGGCAACTTGGCGAGACCTCGTCTCTACGGTAAATCAAAAATTAGCCAGATGTGGTAACTCACACCTGTAGTTCTGGCTACTTAGAAGGCTGAGGTGGAAGGAACGCCTGAGCCCAGAAGGTCAAGGCTGCAGTGACCTGGAGCGTGCCACTGTACTCTAGTCTGGGCGACAGAGTAAGACTCCAACTCAAAAAAAAAAAAAGAAAATACTGTTTCTCAATTTTTTTTTCCCAACTCTACAATATTTGTAACATGCATACACATTCACTTTAAGTTTGTGAGTTACCACAGAAGGCTAGAAAAGACAAGAGTGGGAAGTTATGGAATCACTAGAAACCCTACTAGTATTTTAGTATTTCTCCTGGTGGCTCTGCCTTGAGTCAGATGTCACACAGGCTGGACCAGCTTTTCCAGTCTTCCCAGTGCCATCTATGGGTGACCCTCAGCAGCGAGGGCAGTTTGCTAGTAAGTAGGGTGCTTCTGTTTGGGTAAAAAAAAAAAAGCTCTGGTACCACAAAGAGGAGAAATCACCAGAAACGGATCTCGGACTTGGGAAGTGACTCGGGAAGTGACTCTTCGCTGCTGCAGGGAAGGCCTTTGTGTCACCAGCATGTGAGAGGCAGTGTCTAGGTGGAAGTCAGCTGCCATAGAAATGGGAGTAGCTTTTCCCTCCCTCTAACCCAGGGCTGTGTCTCTGCTCCCTCTTCAGCTGGTGCTGCCCGAATACTCCATCCACAGCCTCTTCTGCATCATGTTCCTGTGTGCTCAAGAGTGGCTCACGCTGGGACTGAACGTCCCTCTCCTTTTCTACCACTTTTGGAGGTAAGTCTGCTGGGACTGGTCTATATCCTTCTTTTCTGCCTGAGTAGCCTGCTCTCCAGTAACAACGTCCTCCAAATAGACAGCCACCTGATTCCTTCCTTCCGTTCCTTCCTTTTGCGGACTCTCTCTCCAAAGCCTTTTCCCAAACTGCTTTTAGGCACCAAGTTCAATAATGGAAGGCCCTTCTTGTTGGCTCCATTAAGCACAACCCCAGCCCTTATAGGTTGGTGTTAAAGACTACTACAGCATCATTCACAATAGCCAAAAAGTGGAAGCAACCAAATGCCTATCAACTAATGAATGGATAAACAAAATGTGGTATAGCCATACAATGGAATATTACTTGGCAATAAAAACAGGTGAAATACTGATACATGCTGCAGCACAAACTCTTAAAAGATATATAAGTGAAAGAAGTCGGACACAAAAGGTCACACATTATATATGATTCCATTTATATGACATGTCCAAGATAGGCAAATCCATAGAGATGGAAAGTAAATTCATGGTTGTCTAGGGCTGGAAGGGAATGAGACTAGGGAATGATTGCTAATGGGTATAGTGCTTTCTTCTTAGGGTGATGAGAATGTTCTGAAATTAGATGGTGGTGATGGTTGCACAACTCTATGAATATACTAAAAACCACTGAATTGTACACTTTAAAAGGGTGACTCTTATGGTATGTAAATTATGTCTTAATAAAAGAACCCAGCACTTACCAGATGGGCTGGATTTTCTGGGACAGTTATGATTTCATATATTTTATTCTCTGTTAAGACCATGCGTCAAATCATGCGATTTTTGGCTTTTTGTAAAATAGAGTCACCATATGGATACAGAAAACAAGGGTGGGGGAACGCTACAACAGTAGGTAATGTACTGGTGCAGGTAAATTGTCTGCACTTGACCCTTGGCTCCCAGAGCATTTGTCCCCTAAAATGTTTCATCACTGTCATTCTACCATAAAATACAGCTTAGTTTTAGCCACATCTAGAGTATTCACTCTTTCATTTAGCAAACATACAGAAGACATACTACAAACCAGGCATCGTGAGGGAGTTCAGGTTACATGTAAAACATAAACTTACCCTCAGGAAGTTTCATCCTAGTGGTAGAGGTATATTCTTAAAAGACATGTGAGGAATATATGTAGAGGTGCAGGGAAAGAAGCACTGAAATTAGACTAAAGAGTTGCACTCTTGCCTGAGCCCGCGAGTTCGAGACCCGCCTGGGCAGGCGAGATCTCATCTCTACAATAAATCAAAAAAATTAGCCGGGTGTGGTAGCGTGCGCCTATAGTTCCAGCTACTTGGAAGGCTGAGGCGGAAGGATCGCCGGACCCCCAGCAGGTCGAGGCTGCGGTGGCCGGGAGTGGCCACTGCACTCCAGCCTGGGCGACAGAGACTCCAACTCAAAACAAAATCAATCAAACAAACAAACAAACAAAAAATTAGCTGGACATGGTAGCACATGCCTGTTGTTCGGGCTATTGTGAAGGCTGAAGCCAAAGGATCACCTGGGCCCAGCAGGTTAATGCTGTGGTGGCCGTGAGCGTGCATGCCATTGTGCACTCCAGTGTGGGTGACAGACTGAGACTCTGACTCAAATAAATAAATAAATGTGTTGGAAGGATTTTGGATTTTGTTGTTGTTTGATTACTAATTATAACAGACTTACATATAACTTTTCGGAAGAGTATGTTTTCTTCCCATTGGACGAGTACAATAAATCAGTGAAACAAGTTTTTCATGTCATGTTTTGAGTCAGTATTTTCTTCTAGCTATTGATTTTCAAACTGTTCTCCAGGAAGCCTTAGGCTTGTTTTGGAACTTAACTGGTATGTGAGAGAGTGTGCAGGTCTGCACATTCCCTTGCCATTCTTTTAAACTATATGTGTTGCAAATATAAAGAACAAATACCTACTGTACCCCCGGCAGACGTCACTAGTCACTTGTGGCATTCTCCCATTATATTTGTCAATGGCTTC